TTAAAAAAAAAAAAAAGAATCTTTCCTACATTATCATAAAGACATTCTCTTTATTATTTTCTAAAATATTTATTGTTTTGCCCTTCATTTTTAGGCCTACAATCTAACTGGGATTAATATTTGAGGTAGCACACAGGATTCTTTTTTTTTTTCCAATATGGATATTCAGTTGACTCTGCACCATTTTTAAAAAGATAATTTTGGGGAACAATCAATAATATTATCTTTGCCAACAGCTACATGTCCTCGTAGAGGTGGGTCTGTTTCAGTGCTCTCTATTCTGATCCGATGTCTATTTGTCTATCCTTGTACAAGGAACACACTATATTAAATATATAACATATCTTAATATCTAGGAAATCAAGTCCTTCTTGTTCTTCTTCAACTGAGTCTTGGTTAGCCTGGACCCTTTACATATGCTTCTAAATTGCAGAATCAGCTTATCAGTATCAAAAACAAAACCTACTTATTTTAATTGGCAGTGCCATGAATCTGTAGATCAATTTGGGAATTGCTGACATCATTACAATACTGAATCTTCCAATCCTTGCACATGATATATCTTTCCACTTATTTAAGTCTTTAATGTATCCCAATACTATCTTATCGTTTTCTGCACAGGTCTTGAGCATATTTTGTGAGGTGTGTTCCTAGGCATTTGATACTTGTGAATCTTTAAAAGAGTATTATGTACTTAAATGTGGCATATACAGAGGGTATCAAAAAAATGTATACACATTTTAAGAAAGGAAAACTGTATTAAAATTGCAATACTCAACATATACCTATAACAAAAGATGAATACAAGTCACGTTTGACTTCTGCAACTACAAGAGGTGCTCAAAGTGGTTACCATCAGCGTCCAGACACTTTCAATTACGGTGAACTACTGCTTGAGCAACGTTGACCAAATTTTCCACTTGTATACATTTTTTTGGCACCCTCAGTATATTTATATGTTCAAATTTTGTATATTTTGAGCCAACCAAGTGGTGCGTTGGTTAAGTGTTGGCTTGGGAACGCAAGCTCTGAGCAGCAGGGCTGTCGGTTTGGTTCCCACACAGGCCAGTGATGCTGGGCTCTCTACAGCTAAGATTGTGAACAGCAGCTCAACCTGGAGCTAGGCTGCCAAGAGTGGTCAGTGATGACGTAGGCTGCAGCCACTGCTGCAGTGGGCTTCCTGAGCTACTGTGAATGGCCTGCAGCCAGCATGAGCCGCTGGCAGCCAGCAAGAGCTGCCGTGAGCCGCCGTGAGCGGCCGTCCAATGGCCAGTGACTGATCTGCCTCACCCAGGAAGAGCACAATGATAATACCAACATGGGCCAGTGAAGCAACGTCCTCCACAACTAGACTGAAGAATAAAAGGACAGCAACTAGTCTGTTTCCCTTCCCCGATTCCCCAATAAAATCTTTTTTTTTAAGTTTTTTTATATATTTATCATACATTGAGTAACCTTGCTGAACTTAGTAATTCCACAGTTTGTAGATTTTTAAAAATTTTCCTATGTATACAATCATATCACCCAGATATAATGGTTTCATTTCTCTTTATAATCCTTACACTTTTATTTCCTTTTCTTGATTAACGAGTGTTGAATTTATCAAATTCTTTTTTCTTCCTGCATCTATTAAGGTAATAACATGAATTTCCTGCTTTACCCTGTTAATTAAACACTGGTGGTTACATTAATCAATTTTACTGTTAAGATAATCTTGCATTTTTAGAATAAACCCAAGTTAGTCTGGATGTATTATCCTTTTTATATATTGCTAGATTTTATTTACTAATATTTTATTTAGAATTTCTGCATCTACATTCAGAAGTTAAAAATTGCCCTATAAATTTCCTCTCGTTTCCTTCAGTAGAATTCACTAATGCCACCTTCTGAGCGTGCAAAGCTCTTGGGCTATTTCATACAAATATTAGGTGGTATCTCTAGCATGGTGAGTTTCAACAATAAAGATTATTGATGATACTAAACCTACAGTTAACAACTTGACACTTAAGATCAGAGTTACTTCTCTTTCCTTTTGGTTCTCCAATACATTATAGCATAGAGCAGAGAACTCCTTAATGTAAGACACTGAGAAAAGGAAGGGTGGCAGCTGAAGTTAGACTGCATGGAGTCATATCTAATGAGGATTGGGAGTCCAGACAAAGTATAAAAATCACCTGCTCAAAGAATTCAGGAAGCTGACAGGGTAGTGAGTAATTATTGGTTCAAGAACCAGAAGATGGAAGTCTGAGAAATAAGCCTGGCATCAGAGGTGACTTGTGCTGCAGACATCTGCTGTTCCAGAGTAGGGAGGAGGTTGAAGCCCGGTGGTTCACTTTGAAACCACAAGCAGATATCCACCTTAGAGTCAGGGCTGTAATATCTGGGTGAAACAGGAGTGGAGAAGAGACTCATGGCCCAGTGCATGGTAGAGAACAGAAAGTGAACTCTTCATAAAGCCATGTACAGGAAAAAGCCAGACTACTAGAAATCTCCTATAAGAAATCAGAACCCCTAGGCCTGCCACACATGCTCGGGTGGGTACAAACATTAAGAGATATAATAACTAAGAATTTTTCAGAATTGAAGGAAAACATAAGTTTCCAGGTTATAAATGCATGTTGAATCACAAGCAAAAATTTCTCAGCTGGCCTGAAAACGATGTAACAATATTCTCAAAGGGCTGAGGAAACATACCTGTCAATCTAGACGCCTATACCTATTTACATGATCATTTGAGAACAAATGTGAGATATACATTCTCAGGCAATCAAAAATTAAAATATCTTTTTTATCCAGAGATGCTCACTGAAAGAAGTACCCAAAAACATGTTCTTCAGCAATATGGCAAAGGAACCTGGTAAGAGTAGGCTTCAAGACAAAAACAAAAACAAACAGAGAAATCAAAGAAGATACAAATAAATGGAAAAACATACCATGTTCATGGATAGGCAGAATTAATACAGTTAAAATGTCAATACTACCTAAGGCAATATATAGATTCAATGCAATTCCTATCAAACTATCAAGAACATTTTTCTCAGAAACAGAACATATAATCCTAAAAGTTATATGGAGCCATAAAAGGCCCCAAATAGCCACAACAATCTTGAGAAATAAGAAAAAAGTGGGAGGTATCACACTACCTGACATCAAATCATACTACAAGACTACAGTAATCAAAACAGTATGGTACTGGCATAAAAACAGACACATAGACCAATGGAACAGAATAGAGAGCCCAGAAATAAACCCATCCATATACGGTCATTTAATCTATGACAATGGAAGCAAGAATTT